GAAGTTTCAATTCCCTAGGTGTCCCGAGATGCGAAGCAAAGAACTGGCAAGCTTCCACAGACCGAGATGCCACTTGACAGGCATCATATGCCACGGGCATGGGGTACTGCTGTCAATAAGTGACCACGACGTACCAAAAAGTTCGTCCACGATGGTGGAATTGGTCGCCCGCACGCTCACGAGGTTGGAACAGAGTGGCGTCCGGTTGTCGGATTGTGATCTTCGGATCCAATCCGACAACACGGTACGCGAAATGAAGAACAACATTCTCTTACGCTACATGGCAATGCTCGTGTCAAGCGCAACTCTGCGGTCCATTTCTCTCGGTTGTTTAACCAGCGGACACTCTCACGAAGACATCGACCAGATGTTTGGGAGCGTGGCCCGGTTTGTGATACGAAAGTGCAAGGTGGCCAATACACCCATGGACTTCCAAAGCATCCTTGTGGATTTCTTGGCGCAGCTACCTCGAGCGCATGAACCAAACCGATGGGTTGTAAAATTAGACAAAGTTCGCGACTGGTCGCTTGTCATGATTGGCAAGTTGCTTGTTGCCGTGAGAAGCGTTTAGCTTTAAAGCTGGAAGGTTTTTCTCACACTTTAACATGTCCCTGGGTACACTTTGATCAAAAAGGGGTTCTCAGAAGCAATTTTCTGCTCGGATTCGATCGTGAAACAAACACCCCCCAAGTCCTTATATAAATATATAGTAGGCAGGTCTTTTCATGGTCGAGTCTGAGCGGAAAAAGTTGCGTGGTGGCGAATCCCAAATGATTTGCGCTATGATGGTTAAATGGCGCTTAAAGCACCAACCAGGCAGCCTTAAGCTTCAGGCTGAGTCATTTGCTTCGCGTCGTGTCGCCCATTTCGTGTTTCAGCCTATCGCTTCACGTTGTCGGACCCAACATCATTGAGCCATGGACATGGTATGTGGTTTGCGGGGTTCGAACCCCGCACTTTTCGAACCTGCGCTATATAACCTGCGGAGCCAGCAAACCTTTTAGGCGAATTTTTGGAGGTGTCCGTTTTGTAGCCTTAAAAGTTACTAAACCAAATAAAAACGGACACCTCCAAAAATTGCCTTTTAGGGTCTGTTGAATTGTTGGTCCTTTCTTGGTAACAGCAAGCCAGGTTGGTGTTGTTCTTTCGCTTACGGTCTCGGTGCTCATGCCTGAGGAAAGGTTTTCTTGCGGAGGGCCTCCCTGTCATGGTCAAGGGTTTGAACGGGCCGGGCGCGCCCCACTTACTCCAATTGGATCGCAGATGTGACTTAGGTGGCTTGTCAGGCTAGCGACTTCACCCGATTGTGTGAGTTTTTGTGGCAAACAGCAAGTGGTGGCCCAGGTCCGGAACATGTGGTTCAAGATCCGTTTTGGCAGTTGGAGCCACGGAATTCTGACGTGATCCTTAGGCGCAGTGGAATGCATTTATGCTTCCTTGAATTATGCGCAAATGCCATGCGTTTTGATGACCTGACTGTAAACCGGCGGCGAAAGTTTTTTCAGCAGGACCAAGCAGTATCTCTCTGACCGAGACTGGAAGACTTGCCACAACTTTTTCCCCAAGGAAGTGGCAGAGATCAAGTTGAAACTGGGGGTTCCGGCAGGACTGGTCCAGTGTTTGGGTTAGGGCGGCCGACTCTTTTGGTGTGTTCGGAGTTGGAGTGTGCCAGGACTTCTCGACAGGAACCCCATCGGACAGGACTATGCAGACCACATCACAAAGCATCTTTCAGTTTTGAGGAGCTATGGACTTCACAAAGCTGCGCAGTACTTGGAGGAATGGGTCTCAGGTACTACATCGCAGGAGCCTCTACTCGATGTATCTGCGCCACTTGACATCAGTTCCATGAACAAACATGTTTACAAGCGAAGCTTTGCAAACTCGTCAGGGATGGAATGTTGCTGCCATTAGTATTGGACCCTTCTTCTCAAGCGTGCCTTGTATCAGGTGCTGCGTTCTGAGTGGCCCTCGATTCCTCCGCGAGCCCAAGACCTACAACCCAGTGTCGTTCGGCCCCCAGAGCCGAATGTGTTGAAGCAGCAAGCCTGCAACAAGGACACACTCCGCGCTGGCAATCCAAGAGTATTCGCATGACATTACTATTGTGAAACGATGTGTGTTTATTGCGCGAGTGCATTAGCCTCACTCCCCAAGGCTGGGTGCAAATCCAGACCGGAAGAAGGATGCGGACTCCTACATTGCCAATTCCCGCAACCGCATGATTGTACAAGCAGCTGCTAGCGCATGGGCCAACGGAGTCCCATGGGCTGAGGCTTTGAATATTGCAACAGATGCTATTCAACGTGCATGCCCAAAGGCAAAGCCTCTTCCAAGAAAGATCCCCAAGAACCGGCGATAGAGCGCGCGCCCATGCCCCCACACTGAGCCAGTGATTTCTGTGAGGTGTTGCAAACATACTATCACATCATGTAAGTAGTTGGTGTTTGTAGGCAATCTACTTGGAAAGCGCGCGTGCAACCCTAAAGGGGTTTGGTCGAACCTGGTTCTGGGGTTTTGTTTTCTGAGCAATTTGCAGGCCTTTTGGCAGGTTTCTCAAATGAGAAAACAGCTCTTTGGCAAAAAATGGCAAATTTGAACCTCAAATTTGAAAAAAGCAAAAAAATCGTCGTCGGCATGGACATTTACGGGGGCCGTGGTTGTGGCGAGAGATGTCAGCTCGAGTTTTCAACACTCATCACGCTTGAGTTATTGCGCTTCAAGAGTGTTGGAAAGGAGGTCGGATTCAACACCAATCCAATCATTGCAGGAATGTCGAAGACTGTTTTGGAAAATTAGAGTGACTCTTTCAAAGCAAAGCAAGGCAAAAGTGTTGAAAGCGAGGTTGGTTTCAACACTTCCTGCCCAAACTTGGGTCACCCAGATTGGTGTTGGGAGTGCCCTGGTAACTATTTTGAGAAGTGTCGGATCTCGATACTCAGACAATTCTTCTGGACTTTTCGTGCGCAAAGTCAAGTGTTGATTCGTATCCGCATCCGACACTTTTGCAGGCATCTTCTAGAAGTGTTGAATCATACCCGGATCCGACACTTTTCTTCAACAAGGTCGGATACTTTGACCGTTCGTTCATTCCAGCTACCAAGTTTTTCCGAAAGAAACTACTTTACGGTACGTGGCAGGGAAACATGTTGGAGCGGGACTTCCGAGCACCGTTTTGTTCAAGCTGGCGCTGGCGCGACACATTCACTCGCGATGCCCCGCAGTGCAAAGAAGAAGGATCAGGCTCCTTGGCACTTGCCAATCGCATGTTGGGAGGTTCTTCTTTTTGGTGAGGCTCGCGTGTCCCGTCATCGTCAACGCCGCTCCAACGCCACAGTCGCTGACGATTCCGGGTGTTCTGGCCTTGGAATTCTTTAAGTCGGTTCATGTTTGGATTAGGTCAACTATATATGTTCAACTGAAGGCACGACCACACAACTATTGGAGGGCCAGGATTTGCAGGCAGGGTGCCTGTTGAACGCGGCGCGTGCACCGTTTACCTAATGTTTTTAGGACAGGCACAGGCGCAATGCAACGTTTTGCGAACATCGCGAAGCGTTCAGGAAGAGCTTCAGCCTGACAAGATTTTGAGAGGACGTGATGCCTTCCTCTTGCAATATGAGTCAATCAGGGAAGGGGTGTGTTTGTCAGATGTGTGTTGGCTGATTACTTGATTTGCTTTCAGAGTGTATATGACACAACCCAGATCCAGTGGTTTGCGCAGGTGATTGTCCACTAGGGTCCGGCAGTGCGATTTTCTTGAATGGTGAGAGCCCGGGCAAGAGCAGCAAACAAGTGTTTCAGCCTTGGTGAGAACCGAAACCTGCCACTTGAGACACTTATTATTTGCGATTTCTTTATGTATAATGAGCCTTGTTCACTCCAATGTGGGAAGCTCCTGTTTGCGCGGCCGGAAAGGAAATGGAATACTATGGGAACCATTTGATTTTGATTGGCGACGACAATGTCAAGCCCGAAGACCCCCCTCACTGTTGCTTTTTGTTGCCAGAGCTTCCTGAGAACTTGGGGGCAGCTGTATTGCGCATCTGCCCCGAGAAGTACATCGCGTTGAGGGATGGGATGAACAAGGCGCCTAGCTGCTGCTTCTCGATTATTGCTTTAAGCTGCGTGTTTTTTGGCGTCCACTGAACGAGTGTCCGCAAGTTTGCCAGAGCAAGTCCAGGTGCAAGGAGTGTGGCTAGTAGCGTGAATCATTCATATTGTTGGGGTGCCCCGTGGAACCGAGGTTCGCCAGTTACTATTCAAGCCGTGCCGCCGCCGTGAATCCTAGCTGACCAAGTGTCACAGGTCAGTTTTGAAGCTTCGACATTCAGGTGCGGAAAAGCAATCTAAAGTGTGAAGCTGTGATGCCAGAGACAGTTCCAGATTCAAGTGTAGATGTCGCTCAGCATTCACAGCTTGTCATAAATTTTCAGGATTGGCTCATTACACAGGGTTGAATGCAATTTCACGGGATACCATGGCGCCTAAGAAAAGGAAGTCTGGCGGCCGAAAGCGCGAAGGCTGCCAGGCTGCCTGATGACACCCCCGAATATGTTGTCAAGATCCGGGAGTGGATTCATGGCTGCAATCGGTTTGCAAATCAAATGTAATTCGAGGGAGTTCTGCGTTTCATGCATTGCGTGGTCTATTTTTGTTGTGCCTGAATTCAGCATTGCAATCAGAAGCAAGGAGGTGTGGTTTGTAGTAGAGCGCACCTGCCAAGAACCCGGATTCGGAATTCGGTCCAGTGCGTGAGGCTGGAGCGAGAAGTCTTACCCGTGGGTGGCCCCGACGTCTTCTTGTCACGGAGGTATGGAACGAAGGAGCCTGCTTGAAACCTTTTGCAATTCTTTGACCTGCGATCACTGCTGTCCGGAAACGCTTTTCCTCACATAACCGCTCACAAGTCTTTGAGTTTATATAGCCTCATGTTAGAAAGAACATCAATCCACAAGTAGAAAGGGGACACGTTTTTCGTCGCAATCCTGACAGGCTAGGAAGCTGGAGTTTGCAAAGTGGCTCGACCACTCCTTCCCTCCAAGCTCGCACCGGAACTATGCCGATAGCTTCCGCCCTGGGCCAGTGTGCCTCCGCCCTTGGCACCTTCACTGGCGGTCTGACTACGGGCTAGCGGGTCACGCAGATCCAGAGGAGCACCTCAGGTTGTGCGAGTTGATTTTGACGACTGGCTTCAGGACCGACAGCGACTTGCTTGGCGTGGAGCGTTTGGCGGTGTTCATGCCTACGGACGAATGGCTCGATGGGACGCAGGGCGGCTTGGAGTGCCTGCCACCTTTGGAGCCTGGAAGTTGCTTGGGCTCAATGTTCTCAAGCTCAAAACAACATGCAAAGGCAAAGGTTTCGTTTCAGCCTGTCCCAATTGCGTTGTGTGCCGTTAGATTTGGGCAGTTGCCAGGTCAACTGCTGCGGCCCTTTTCGATCGGCTATGTCAAAGGATGGCGCAGATCCGTTGCGGCGCTGATCGTCATGCAGGGCTTCAAAGAACTCGACATTGACTTAGACACCCTTCCACGCCCGATCAGAGTGTCTTGATGTTAACTCGTGTTGTGATTTGTTGAAGCCATATTCTGTGAAGAGATTTTCTTTTTTGGGGGAGGGTTGACTCGGTTGACCCAACAAATTCCAACAACTGATGATCTATGATCGGTTGACTTTCTTGAGAAACATTGGGTGAGTGACACTGATTGTCTAGCCCCAGGCCTCTTTTGGCACGATTCATGGAACCGCCGGCGAGTTCCAAGATGCAAAGCAAGCGGTGCTGACAAGTCGGGGAATTACCATGTCCTCGACAAGTGTTCGGAAAAGTCCACACTGTTTCAACATGCTCCGGCAGATCCAGGTCCTCAAGAATGCTAAAGCGATGGAATCTGCAGAAGTGGACCCCTGCCCTGTACCTTTTTCCTTTTTCAAGTTGCGCTTGGGGGTCCCTCCGAGGCTTTGTTTTGACATCCCATCGACTGGGGTTATCAATCCAAACAAATTTGAGCGATACTCCACCACTTCCGTGGGCCGTCTGACAACTCTAAAAGAAGAAGGGATACCGACAAGTTTTCCACGGAATGGTTGGCCTTAGACCTGTGCGATCGTGCACTTAATCAGGGGGATGGTGCGGTGTGTTTTGGTTTTTATAGTTTGTAATATGATATGACATATACACATAATCAGGCCCATGTGGATGCTTTATATTTGTAGGTTTTCTCAAGTTCAAAAACCGACTCCCCTGCACAGGATTGGAATAGCGCCAGCAATGTGGCGAAGGCGTTCGCCATTGGGGTGAAGGAAGCAACTGCGGTCAGTTGTTTGACCAAGGTCAATCCGGAAGTCTGCGAGTTGCTCCGTGCCGCCATTCGCGGCATGAGGCCGTTTTTGCAACACGACGTGATAGCAAAAGAATGCTTCAATGTCGGATGGAGCAGCGGGAAAATCAGCGAGTTCGAAGCGTGGCGCATCCAGCTTACCAACACAGACGAGCTGGCCACTGGCTTTCTGGAATTCAGTATGCGTTTGTTTGTGAAGCCTCAAGGTGAATTATTGCAACATGACCTCACGTGTTTCTCATGCAAAAAAGGAAATTCTTTCAGGCTTGCAATGTGACCCACTCAGTGAGGTAGCGCTATTTGTGGACAGGCTGATCAAAGACTGGGATCGTCAGCCAGTGGGACTCAAGAAGAGCTGGGGGTATCGGGAAGCTGCCCAGCTTCACGCAGTTTGCGGTGCTTTCATCCATTACACAAACGTGCTGAAGGCCAAGATCTCCGAGGAAACCTATCAGGCTGAACTGCCGGGTCTGAAGGAACAATTTGCAGGGTCATTTCTTGACCCAGAGCTTTTGCATTCGCTGCAAAGTTCAGTGCCTCCTGGCGACATCAGTAGCATCAGTGTGCTGAGGCAAGGGTTGTTGCAAAACTGGCGGTTTGTTTTCAGAAGTCATCAAGCGCCCCAAGAGTTTCACATTATGAGTCCCATGTTGGGGTTGGCACCGCCAGCGCCAACGATGTTTCCCGGCGTAACTGGGAGAAATGTTTCCTGGCACCAGGGACATCGTGAAGGCCTCCGAGCAACGACTTTCCCGAGAAGCTGAGCAGTGCAACGAGGAGCTAGAGAAAAAACTCCATGAAGCCACTTTGCAACATCTCAAGGCGAAGGTTGAGCAAGATTTGGAGCTGCTGCGAAAGCGCATGCCCACCAAGGAGGCAGAGGCTATAGAGTCTGCGCTTGATGTCAAGTACGTTAGAGACCGACAGATGTGCTTAGGTTCAACATTTGCACATTGTTTTGTGGTTTCTTACTTCTGGGTATTCGTGCATCTTAACTCAAACCCTCTCACTGAGGTGTGAAGTGTAGATATGTGTGTGAAAAGGGTTGGAAGAAATAGTTTCCTTTTCTTCCCTTCTCGTTTCTTGTCTCTCTTGACCTGTTTGTTTTTGTTTGTTCCAGGGCTTTCTATGTATTGTTCTATTCACTGCGAAGGGATCCTAAATTTTGCAGGGTCAAGGTTCTACAAACCTGTTTCTGCACGAGGAGGTAGATTACAAAAAGAAGGAATGTCCGTGACTCCATTACATGGGGTTGTTTAAATGTTCCACGCCAGCTTAATAAGTTAGGGTGATCGCCTGCGATACCAGATCAAACCTGGCATTGAAAGAACTGAACTTCTCGTACCAGATTGACAAGTTAAAACAAAAAACATCAACAAACTATTTTTGATCTGTTGGTTGTCAAAATGTACGTTGACCGGTGCGGACACTTCCCTTTCAATCCCCACATGACTTAGGCAAGGCAGCAGCTGGGTGCAAGAGTGGTTGCAGGACAAGTGCAAACTGAACGTTTCGGATGAGAAAGGTTTGGAGATGGTGCAGCTGTCCTTCACCCAGTTCCAATCACGCTTTGCTGGATGCGCGGGGAAAGTGTGTGGGCCACAGTTGTCTCCAAACTCGGAACATTGATTTGCTTAGCTGAAACAGTTGGCAGGGAGCTCAAAGAACCTAAGACGTTCAAACTTTTTCTCTTTCAGTGAGGCTCGCAATTGTGGGGCTGGATACAACGCTGTGGCCATCCAACGTGAAGTTGCTGAACGATGCTGTGAAGATCACGAGCAATGTCTTGCACATGAGCGCGGGCAATTGTGCCCACATCCAGCTGCCGCTGTGTCACGCAGCGACAACCCATGCGACGACGTTGAAGCACATCAGAAACCTCCAAGATTTGCTGCTGAACGCCCAGCTGGACATTTCTTCCGAAGTGGCCCTCATCTTTACGAAAGACGATGCTGCCAGAAGTGACAGGCGCAAGACGATGCAACAGCGCTACTGTGCAACGACTAAGCAGTTCAGGAGCGAGAGTGCCTGGAACAATTCCAAGGCTGTGCAAGTCAGCCACATCCCAGGGCTGCAGCTTATCAAGGTCACTGACATGCTGGGATACGACGATGTCACCAAACCCACTCCAGGGGCGAGGGTCGAGCAGACGCTCAGCCAAGCTAGCCGGCTTTTGGTTTAAGCAGTCGTTGCTTGAGTGTGAGCAACTTTTTCGATAAGGCCGGTGTACTTTGTGTGTTGTTTGCTGGTTCTTGCGCCCGCGAAGGAAGGGTGTGGCCTGCCACACGGGCATCCTGGCTTCATATTTGGATGGCATGGATCTTGGCCCCAATGACAAGTTGATCTTCTTGGATGTCATACCGAACGGGTGTGGGAGTGTTCAACTGGGGGTTGACAGTTCATTAGTTGAGAGTATACAGGTGCAACGTATACAAGGCAATTTTTGCTTTGTTTCCTTCTTTCGTTTGACGCCCTGGCCCTGCATTGCCTTACCTTGCAGGTGCTGCGAGTTTGCAAAAGCATGCGTTGAGCACAACCTTGCCGGCAAAGCGCCAGAGATTTTCTACTTTGGATGCTTGAACAAGGATCAAAAGGATGTGGTGACATCCATCACTAAGAGGCTGTATCAGTTTTGGGATGCTTCCAAGTCAGCTCCACCGAAGACGAGGCAACGGCAAGCCCAACCCCAAGAGCAAGTTGCGTTGTCAGTTCTTGCCTGGGATCGTGGCGTGCCGAAGTGGCCAAGCTCGCTCAGTGATAAGTTCGCTGTCGGCACGCCGCAATACCTTGTCCTGCAAGACTTGAAGCAGCAGTTTGAGCAGTTGTACCCGCAATCTACTACTCAACCCACTGCTCCTGAGAATAGCGCTGTTCCTCCAAGGGCTTCTGGCCAGTGTGACTTCAGCATTGATGAGGGCCGTCAGCCGATGGATGTGCATCGTGTTGTGGATTTGGCTCCAGTCGCGACCGATGAGATCGGCGAGAGGTGGGCGACCAAAACGCCTTGTGAACCAGCCCGGCGCAGCAAACCAGTTTCAGTCAAGATGTTCAAAGTTGTTGTAAGTTGCAGTTTGCTCACGCTGGCTGATCACTTTTTTGTGTGATTGCAATGCGCCAGGCTGGCCTATGTGGCCGGGAAAGGTGGACGTCCCAGCATCATCGTCACCTCTGCCTTTGAAATCCTGCTCGGAAATGAAGACAATGCCAAAATCACCCTGGATGCTTCGGAGTTGTTTGGCAGTTTGGGTTCAATGTCGGGCAGTTCGAGCAGAAAGTTGTCAAAGATTTGAGTGCCGAGTCGAACTCTATCCCGTGGAGACTTGTCAATGACTTCAGCCTCATTGCTGCGGAGCGAACTTTGTGGCCGCTTTGTTCCTACCTGCACCATTGTGTCACACAGAAAGGGATTGCAGAGATTGGCATTGAGGATCACAAGATGACAAGCAAGTTCCACTCCAAAGTAAGCTGGCTAAGCAGCTTTAGAAACCCTATCGACTGTTTTTGTGTTTCCTTCTATTTTCAACTTACTCGTAATCCAGTGACTCTCCGCAAGGCAAGCGAGGATGTTGATGCAATCCTGTCTCCTACCGATACGACGTGACTCCGGTAGAGAATTTCAACACGAATGTCTTCAAACCAACAGCCTTGACCCAGACTGATTCGTTGAAGTGGGTGCACCTGGGAGCAGTGTTTAACGGCAAGCACAACACGCTCTTGAAGGGAAACAAGAATGCATCCATTGTGTGGCAGGCGCGATTTCACTTTCTTATCCAGGTCTGTTGTTGGGGTGAGTGATGTGGGTTGCACTTCTCTTTAGTTTGTGTCGTGCATCCTACGTGGGGTGAGGTGGAGTTGCAAGGCAACCGCTTGATCCCCAGCAAGCCAAAGGTGTACATGACTTGCTGCACAGTTCTTGAGCCGGGTCGCTGGTACAAGCTATGAGCCTCGCTGAGCCCACTCCAGGGCTTGCGGCGCCAGGTTTTGATTTCTCCCAAGTTGCAAGCTAGCAGCTGGCTGTTGTTGTTTTGAACTGTGAGCGAAAGTGTCTTATGTTAAGTGTTTTTTTGTACCAAGAGCTATCATAAATCACATAAGTCTGTACTTAGCGCTGGCCGCTGGATTGCGAGAGATTCAAGGGCCAACCTGGCCAAGTGTGGTACGGGTTGGCGTTAACTTTGGTTCACCCACGAAGCTGGCAGTTCTCGATGAAACAGGCTTTTTGAGAGATTGTTCCAAGACGTTCAGAGGCAGGATCAATAACTTTCAAGGCTCCACTCCAGGTTCCGCATGTTGGACTAGAATGCGCCGGCTGTTTCCCACCGTGAAGTGGCTGTTTGCTTTCACGTGATGGTTGGTCGGCTCGTCATTTTTCAGTGTACGCAGTTTTTCGGAAAACAGCAGTGTCGCTGTGTGTAGGGATCTCCAGTTGCGTTATGGGGGTTTTGCCAGCGGTCACCACCTTGAGCTGCTCCTCTGAGGAGAGAATGGAATGGTGTGTCTATTGAATCTTCCTCATTGTTCAGGAAGATTCCCATTCTCTTTTTCTGCTAGGAGGAAGCTCGCAGAGCGTCCCCGAAAGCAAAGGTCAAGGCCAAAGCCAAAGTGAATCCAAAGAGCAAACCGGCGCCAAGTTCAGGGTCGAAGGGTGCAAAGGGCGCGCCTACGCCCAGGAAGCGTCCTTCCTCGAAGATGGAGGAAAATGTTGAGCCTGCTGGCGAGATTGCAGAAGGTGCTTCAGCATTGAGTCCCAAGACGCCCAAGACTACCAGTAGAGGAGGTGCACCACAGGCCTTGAAAAAGCCTTGCGCAGGCTGGGTGTAGCGTGCCATGTAGGACATTGCCTTTACCTTCACTTGCGGCGTGTTTGTGCTCTATAGTGCTGCCAGGGCCATCCAGCATAAAGGAGGACAAGATTGTTGGGCCATATTGGCACAAGAACAATTGGGCTTGGGGTATTAAAGTCGGAGGCAAAGAGGTGGCCAAGGTGCCTTCTGCGTAAACACCTATGTTTGTTGTTTGTGTCGCCAACTTTTCGCACACGCCCCGGTGCACAGCTGGCTATCGCAAGCTGTTGTGACATGGCGGGTGGCCGTTACATCCCGAAAGATGAATCCAAGAAAGTCATCGTGCTTGGCTCAAACATTTTTTGTGCTGTCAGCGAGATTAAACTTGATCACTGGCTCTACATAATTTTTCATTTTTCGTTCACGACATCGCTGCATCCCATGTGGTTGCTGGAGATTCCATCAAGGCGATCAAAACAATTATTGAACCCTTGACTGAATTCAAAACCCCGAATTCCAAACATGTCTTGTAAAGACGTGCCTTCTCCAAGGAAGAGCTGGTGGAAAAACTCCCTCGTACCGAGGAGCCCTACCAAGACACTGTCACTGGCGACTGGGCTGTGTGTTCTGCGATCTGATTGGTTGACATGATTTTCGGGGCTGGGTGTGTATTGGGCATGGCGTAGACCTGAATAGGGTTTCATGTCTATCGACCGTGTTCTGGTCAGGTGAGGCCGCAGCTGGCGCTGAAGCTGCTGGTGCTAACGGTGCGGCTGCTGGTGCTGACGGCGCGGCTGCGCCGAAGCAGGCTGCTGCCGCTGCGGCTGTGACGAAGCGGCCTGCTGCCAATTTGAGTGAGGGCGCGTTGGGTGTTGCTTCTGACACTCCCCCAGCTGTTGTTCCTGTTGAGCCTGAAGAACCAGAAGAAGAGGCCAAGGAGATCGACCCCACAATCGAACCCGAAGATGTTGAATAGGAGGCCAGGCGATTGCTTGTGTGTGGGTAGGTTTGTGCAATCACCGAAATTGTTCTGTAGGTATTTTTCTGAATTGTTGAAACATTCGACGGCCCAGTCATCCTAACCCACGTGCAAGGGCTGAATTTCTAATGTGTCGTTGCCCTGCAGCAATCCTTCACATGCATGGGCTTTCGCAGCTGCTTTGTGTAGTAGATAGGTTGTTGAACAGTTTCTGTCTGCCCTCGCAAGACTCTTGACTAACCCGGTGGCTTTGTGAAAACGTTCCTGCAGAGACCTTGAAGTTTCGAGCGCCCAGCGCGGTAAGTTGAAGGAGGCCAGGGCAAGTTGGCACACGCGAAGGCAGTGGCCAGTGGCCGGTTCGCTTAGAACTTTAACTACCTCAGTTTTTTAGAGACAAAGAAAATGTTGGAGTGTCCAAATCTGACATCTACTTATTATTGAACTGACTGGCAGCTGGGAACGCCCTGTCTCACGCCCTGGATTTTTTCAGACGTGGAATTGATCGGACGTTGGAAAAACGTGAGCTGAAGGCAACTTTGCGATTCTCTCTTAAGGGTGCCCAAAACGACGTACGGTTGCCGGTTCATTGAACGTTGAGACCACATCACTGCGCCGAAGCTGACGCATCCAATTTTCAATCAATGGTTGAGTGGTACGTGGAGAGCCGAAAGATTTCACTAAAAGACGTATATGTCAACTCCACAAAAAATCAGTTTTTGGTTTCCAATCCCCCAACTTAAACGCATACACACACACACACACGCACGCACGCAGAGCCGCTGTTTTCCCAGCGAAATTTTTGTTCGTGACAAACCATGGGTCTTGTAAAAATAACTAACGGTATTAATATGAATGATGTGGTGCGCGCGGACCCCCCAAAGATCCTCTTTAGGTGTGAACTCGCGGGTGATTAGCCGCTGCCTTCATACTACAAGCTACAATAGGCTACGACAGCTAGCCGCGAACCCATTTGCATAGTAATTTGTCAAGCCCACCCGCAGCCTTCTTTGGGCTACGAGCTACAATAGACCACCCCGGTTACTGGGAGTGGCCGATACTCTGAACTTTCTCCCTCCCACCCACCCATTCATCAATGGGGGATCATGATCATGAAAAATCACGGCGGTTGCTTGTGGATTCTGAGCATAAGTGGAAGCCTGGATGAACTTTCTCCCTCCCGCCCACCCATGGTTCGGCGTCAAACATCATGGCGCAAGTTCTTTTTTAGATTGGGTCTGTGGATTCAAAACAGTAGCAAGTGGAAGCCCGGATGCAGCCAGGGAAGCCCGATCCACAGGAAAACTCCATATATGCTGCCGCATACATACCACTACCATCACTTCCTCTCCCCCAACTCCGTCTATATCAAGCTTCCCCAAGGCTCCGCTTAGTCTATCTGAGAATAGGATATGTCTTATCCTATCATCAAGATAGTCACTCGAGGCTATCATCAAAATAGACATCCCAAAATAGTCTTTTTATGGTCTGTTTTGAACTATTAAACTTTGATGAAAAACAAAAATCTCTGCGCTCAGAAAGCAGAAACACATCTTTTCCTGGAGCGCGGTGCGCAGCGGAATCGTGCAAAAGTTCAATTATCGCACGCGAATTTGCAGGCAAATTTGCTAACATTCAGTCAGAGCCAGAAGTGCTTGGGCAACCAACTCGCTTCCTTAAGCAGCGGACTATAGGCGTTTTGCAAGAAAGTTTGCTTGCCGCCACTTTGACTGCCGCAAATATCGAACGTGTTTCTCGAGCTTGTGGAGTGGCAGCCTCATGGCCAACATTCTTTGCAGCCGCATGGGAGAGATTTTCTTCTGCTTGGCCTTCATGCATGGGAAAGGTTGCGGCATCATCATGTAAAATGTTCTAGGCAACTGCACGTCGGCCCAAAAAATCCTTCAGAAAGGACCGATAGACGATGGAAGGTAAAGAAGTGAAACAGAAATCAAACTCAGACTCATGGTTCGCGATCAAGGTTCAGCGAAATCGCGCTTCTTTTTCGCGTCAGGTGCATCAAATCAACCGAGACTGCAGCAGGCGAAAGCACTGTTCGAAATAGTGGGCAGCTTTGTGGCCGAGGCAATGCATTCCACTGATCAGGTGGGATTTCTGGCACCGGCTTGTAATCTCCAGCGTCATGCAAGTGGATGTTACAAAAAGCACAGGGACGGTGAGACTGCCAGTGCGGCAGGTCATGCCAAGCATTGAAGTATTCCAGGTCGCCAGAACTGAAAAGCAAACTGCCAAAGAAACCATCAGTCTTGGAGCCTTCGTCCGCCATCGTTCGTTCAACAGATTTTGCTATGGAGTTCCAGAATGCGCGCGATGTTTGCATGAGGTTTCCCTTAGCCACCATGTGGGTCCAAAATGCTCCAACGAGCAAATGGCGTTCGCGACACGAAGTTGACTGACCGAGCAGAGATTTAAAGCTCACAAACAAGCAACTCTTCGAGCCGCTTCCTATTTGTTGGGTCACAGAAGCGCCGTCGCCATGCAAAATCAATGGCACTGCCCTTTCTTGATATCTTTGGACGCTACGAACAGGGTGGTGAAGAAGAGCTGGGTGTTGGCCCACTTCTGACCAAAAACTTTGGCACCAAACTTGGGTCTTCTAGAATACACCTTTTCCAGGCATCAGTTTTCCATAGCCTCATCCATGTGACATCAGGAGGCAAGAGCGGTATTGGCAATTGTCTTACTGTGGATCCTCCAGTTTTGCTTCCAACTTTTACGGGCATATTGCGCTCAGAAAGAGTGAACATTGGCGCAGGAAGTTTTCGTTCGAGATCTCTTTTGATGTTCCAGATGTGCTGGCCTGAAGTCCCCATCTGTGACAATAGGATCCATGAATTGATCTTGCCATACCCAGCCTTTTGTAGGTCCTTGCTAGCAGCTTGCGTGATGCGCTGAATCAGCACACCTGAAATTTCGCCCCAAACCCATGCTGAAAGCAATAGCTCCACTAGGTCGGATTTGATGTTGTCGGCTGCAAAGAAGCCTTCCTCAAAGTTTGCAGCTTTCCTTGCAGTAGTTCGTCGCATGGAGCTACAAAATGATAGCCTCCCAAAAGATGTTCTTTCTATTTCTAACGCGCCCAATTCAAACAAAATGTGCGTTCAATAAAATGTCTTTCTGAGAGTTTCCTTTCGGAGCGTTTTCTTTCTGAGGGCATTCGTTTTGAGTGCTGACGGTTATTCAATAAAATGTGTGTTCACTAAAGTGTCTTTCTGAGAGTTTCCTTTCTGAGGGTATTCTTTTTGAGAGCTGACTGTTTTGTATGCAAGGGCTTCCTTTCTGAGAGTTGCTTGTGATACTGTATGCTGTATGCTTATTCGAGCCAATTCCAAATATGCAAACCACCACGGCCCAGCATAACTTTCAGAGAAGAAATGAAAACCTCTCTGAAATGAATCGAGCCTTTCCAAAAAGAAATGGAAACTCTCAGAAAAGGGCACTCAGAAAAGAAACCATCAGAAAAATCTCTCAGGAAAGAAACTCGCAAAGGTTGAAATGACAAGTGACCTCTCAAGAAGGCATGAGAAACTCACTCTGAGAAAAGAAACTGAAATCTCTACTAGGCAAACTTGTCGAACATGACAAATGCAAAACTCTGACATGGAGTCTTCAGAGTAACCGGTTGAAAAATCATTGAAATTTTTCCTGTCAGATCAGTCTCGAGGTTCTGGCCGTGAAACCATGCAGCAGCGGATCCACCTGTCGCAGGCACCAATGACACAACCAACGAACTTACGATTTTCACATTTGAGGAGAACTTTGGTCAGAAAGACAGGTTCCATAGTCTTGTATCTTTAAGTCTCCAAGAACCTTGGACTACATAGTCGCAAAGGAACTGCTCTCGTGGTTTTGGTTTTTGATGCAACTCTAATGAATTTTTCTGTGATTCGGATGTTGAGACATCAACTATCTTTTCAAAAATCATGAAATGTATGAAAAGCACAAGTTAAACATCAAAGTTTTATCCAAGTTTTGATAAAACTTTGATTTTTACAGTCAAAGTTTTATCAAAGTTTTGAAATCAAACTTTTATTAAAATCAAACTTTGATCAAAACTTTGGTTTTAAACATCAAAGTTTGATAAAACCTTGATTATGAAAATCAAAGTTTGATCAAAACTTTGATAAAACTTTGACTGTAAAAATCAAAGTTTTATCAAAACTTGGATAAAACTTTGATTTTTTAATTTGTGCTCTTCATACATTTCATGATTTTGTGAAAAAATATTTGATGTCTCAACATCCAGGTCTCAGAAAACAATCATCAACAACCAAAACATTGGTAGACAATTGATGATATATTATCTTGTTTTCTGTTTCGCTGAGACCCTGCATATCGGCGATTCAGCTTGTCCTCCAGGTTTTTGAGCCCGTCGCAGGCGACTTCAAGAGATTTGCGGAGTGTTCGAAGATCCCTCCTGCAGAATGATTTCAAAAGAACATCATTAACAGAAAACTGTCAAAGAGTTGACACTGAACGCTCAATTAGGTTGATCTCCTTACCCATGCGGGGACCAACTCCGGAGATGTTGAAGCTTTTGGTAGCCTTTTCGACCTGGATCTGGAGTGGCGCTCCACGCCCTCCTGCAATGTTGCAAAGCTTCTCTCTCTCTCTCCCGCAGAAATTTCACAGAAAAAAGCTCCCAAACTTGTCTCTCAGAAAACCGGTCTCAGAAACTCTCACAAAGGAAAAAAGATTCAGAACTCTCTCTCTCTCCCGAAAAACTTCAGGAAGAAGAGCCCACACCCTCAAAAACACCAGTCCTGCTTCTTTTCCTCCGCCTTGTCACTCTTGCCCTTGTCTTCATCCTCTGTGTCATGCTCAGCTGCCTCCACCTTCTGCTCTGTCTCGGTGTAGTGACGCTCATGCTCCACAGGCTGCGCTTGCTCTTCTGGCTCTTCCACCTCTGATGGTTTCTTTGCCTTTCCCTTTTCCTTCGACACAGGAAATCGAAAACAAAAAAGGAAAACTCTCAAAAAGGAAATGGAAACCCTCACAAACTTTCAGGAAGGGAATCGAAAAACACAGTGAAAACTCTCAGAAAGGAAATGGAAACCCTCAAAAACTCACAGAAAGGAAATCGAAAAAATACTTGAAAACTATCAGAAAGGAAATGGAAACCCTCACAAAAGATCGGAAAGGAAATCAAAACAGGAAATGAAAACTCTCAGAAAAGAAATTATTGGAAACCCTCACAAACTCTCGGAAAGGAAAAAAACATGAAAACTCTCAGAAAGGAAATGGAGACCCTCACTCTCAGAAAGGAAATCGAAAAAAACTGGAAAACTATCAGAAAGGAAATGAAAACCCTCACAAAAGATCGGAAAGGAAATCAAAAAAGGAAATGAAAACTCTCAGAAAGGAAATTGATGGAAACCCTCACAAACTCCCGGAAAGGAAATCGAAAAAAGATGAAAACTCCCAGAAAGGAAATGGAAACCCTCACTCTCAGAAAGGAAATGGAAACACTGAGAAATGGCAACATTAAAGCAGCAAGGTCGTATTTGTTCACCACTTATACGCTATATGTCCATGGGTCCCATTCCACGCGTCCATGGATTAGCACAGGACGTGGCACATCGATGAAAAGAAAGCAGACCAATGTGCGTGAAGCCGCTTGAAGCGCAGCATGAAATTCACACACTGTTCAATTTCCGCCTTCATCAGCACCTCATCCGGGTGCACTGCAGGGGTAAGATTCATGAACGTGAAGATTGCTGGGAGTGGAGCTCGGTAAAATTGCACTCCGTCGAGCTCCTCAGAGACATCATCGCCTCGGATCATCATCCGCACATACACCAACGTCTTGGCCATATCCTCCAAATAGATCTTTGCAGCATGCTGCTGCTCTGCCTTCAAGTAGTACAAAATGATGTTCCTCCAGTTCTCAACCTGCTCCGCCAGCTCCTCGCTATCTGGGAAACTGTCATTGAGCTGCTTGATTTCCCGAGCGTGCACCAACACGGTAGCCATCGCACACCGAAAGCGGAGGAAATTGCACCCGAAATCTGAAACTGCGAAGGAAAACTATCAAAAAGTGACTTGACAACTTGAACGAACGAATCGTTCAGCAAAGTTCTCGAGTACAGGAAACTGCGCTGTCAGACCCTCAGAAACGATAGATAAGTTCACTGGAGAAACATGCGCGCTCTAAAAATAGGATGTTTATATGTTATCATCTGGTTGATGATAGCCTCAAAAAATAGTATATATATACTATTATAACCAACAAGTCTATTTTAGTCCATTTAGTCTGTTACTAGACTAAGCGGAGCCGTGGGGTTCAATTCAATCTACAGTTCCCTCAACGATGTTACCACTAACACGGGCACTTCTACATCGGCTCCACCGCCATTGGCATCCCTCACAGGGAACACAACCGGCGGGCCAAGCTTAAACAACTTCAGAACAACATCCCGATTTCGGCAGAACACTCCTTACAATATTGTCGCAACCGCACACCATTGATCAATTCACTACCATCCAACTTTAAGCCTCACACGACACCTGCGACCAGGCCTCGATCCACGAACACAACCACATCTCTAACGGGACGCCACCCCTCAACTGGCCTTTCATCTCCCACCACCTCAAACTCGAAGCGCAGGGATGGCAGTTCACCACTTCTACTCCCGCCTTACCACCCACAAACGTCTTTTCCAGCGCCTTCGGCGACGACAGAATACCTACCTCACCTCTTCACCTTCACCAAGCACCATGCCCTAACTTTGCTACGAAGCCTCACTAAGTCACTAAGCGCACAGCCAAATCCTTCGAAGCCGCAAAACAGCTTCGCAGCGGACGACACTCCGACCTGGAGCTATACGCCATCGCATGGCTGCCAACCTCGAAGAACCAGGACGCACAAAAGCCTTGCAGATTATCCACAAAGCAATGCTCTACCGCAACCTCACAACTCCCCGAGCCAACACACCTCTCACCATTCCCTTTCTCTCACACGACTCTTTCAAGTCCCACACCTAGCAATGGTTGAAATCCATGGTCCAGCAACATCTCTCCCACGCTATACCACTACACCTTCCCACTTGCCGGTTGCGCGAAGCCGCACACAACACTCTCCGCGGCCAACTCCACAACCATCGAACATGGGAAGACTGCCTTCTCACACACAGGACATAGGGTAACGGTGTTTCACCCTGTTTCACGTAGTGAATGCACCTGCTGAACCCACAGACCGCCTGCGCACACCTGCGCACACTCCTCGCCACAACTCAGACCATCCCACCACCGACGGACATACATCCTCACACTCGAACTACCACCACACCTCCGAATCTTCCTTGCCGCCAACATGAACAGCTCATGATACCTCACCAAACAAGTTTCCCTCCGCCGTTCTGCAGCTGCTGACTTGCGTGAGTTTTGGAACAGATGTTCAAACACTTCAAGTGATGTTGCTGACCCAGCCGCCATGCGTGTCCCTCATCCATTTCACTGTGGATTATGACTAACTGCAAACCCTGTGACTAAATGTATGCGAGTTGTGCATTTGACAAGGGCGCGGAATGAATCACAAAAGGCATCCATGCGGTCCATGCGGATCATTCACGCAACGATGGTGCGAAGCAATGGGAAGGGGGACTGTGAAACTTTGTGAAACATGCTATGTCAACACGTTCTGACGCACATGTGAGGACCGGGAAGGAGATGTGCTTGCAAGCGGCGCAAATCAGTGGGAGACCGATGGACGACCAGATCACTTCCTTTTCTTGGACCTTGGGGTTGAAATTGCTCCTTGGCCAGTCGAAGAGCTAAACTTAGAGTACAAGTTTGGGTGATTTGCGCAGCAGGCGACAAAATACACAAGTGCATGCGTGCGTTTATCACCCTGATAGAAGTCACATCCAACGAGCAGGTCGTGGCACAAGTTCCGGAACAAGTTCCAAGTTCAAGCAGTGCAAGATTGGGAGCATTCTGCAGATATGCTGTTTTGCTGACATTGTCACGGTTTAACGCCGAACTGTCATCATGTTATATCATATTGTCACGCTGCAAGGTGTAACGCCGTCAGGTTCCATGTTTGTACGGCCTGCGCTGTCATGTCGACATTCTAACATGTTGTCTCTTTGCCACGCTAACTTGCAGACATTATGTCATGGCGAAGCGCGGCTCTTTTGCTGGCGCGCTAGCATATTGTCGTCCTGAGGTGTTGTCAGGCGAGTAATTATAATGGTGTCACTTTGGTGTGTTGACACCCTCACATGTTGTCACGCTGGCACGCTGACACGGGTAACGCTGTGTTCTGGAGCAAGTTCCCGCGTTTTTGTTTTTTGCGGCGTTGTCACGCGTGCACATGTGCCCGCGGCACATGTGCTATGCTGGCAGATTGCCGCGTTATGACGCTTTCATTAGTGATGCTTTCACTAGGGTTGTTTTTTTGACACAGTTTCGCATTGAAAAACAATATTTTTTGTTTGAGTTTGCCGTGTTGCCATGGCCTCATAGCAGATTCATGCCCAGCTGTTGGTGATTATTTGTCTTGCAAACGTGCACACCAGTGCGCTTACCAAGACTCTTAGAAGAAGCTCTCACGTCTTGCTTTGGGTTGAGATTCATTCCCACGACATATCAGGAAACGGCGGCAGTGTGACTCAGAAAGTGTTCTCCTACTGCTGAAACCATAAGGACGTGTGTTGTTTAAAGCTGCGCTGCACTGGAACCCACTATGACCCGAAGAACATCACTGTAATGCGTGGTCTTGCTATGCTTGTTTCTCTCGTAGCACGTGTTTTATTGTCAGGCAGCCGTTCGCGTGCCAGGTATGACTGGCATCGCAGAAGTTGTCAGGGAACACATCAAGATGGCAAGCGAGGCAATTTCAGTGTTCAATGATGATGCACGTTTCGCCCCCCACAGTTTTGGGCAGCGCATTTGGCAGTGTTTTTCGCTAAGTTCTATGACATGTAGGATTTGATTGTTCAGACCCACATCAAGGGTTGCAGTGCAGAGCCATCAAACGAGTTCCTTCTTGCTCCATCAGTTTGTCACGCCATTTATTTTGTTTGGCTTGGTGCGGTACAATTTTAGACTCCAGAGAAGCGAGAAGAACAGCCCTCTCCTCTCGGAAAGGCTAATGGTCCTCCAATGTAAAAGCACCAGATCCCCATTGATATTTCTGCTATGGAACCAGCAAACCTGGGCATTGAAAATGACGACATTCTAACAAGATTGTTTGGCTATAGAATTGAGCCAGTGAGGTTAACACATTCTAGTGGATGCCGCTTTCGCTAAAAGTTTTTGATTCCCCAAACAGGTTACTGTTGGGGTTCTATCTTAGAAAGAAAAGAGCTGGCCACACTCACTGGCCGCGCCCCTGAACTCTGTGGCTGGGCTCTGTGGCTGGACCTTGCGCCGCGCCCCTGAACTCTGTCAACTCTGTGGCTGGGCTCTGTTGCTG